CTTCAAAAAGATGCAAGAAAGAGCCATGCTCTGTCCTAGTTTTGCTTTTGAACGCAGAACACAGAGAAAAACCCGGGCCTTGACGCTTTTTCTCAGAAAAAGCACCCGGAGATGCGCCCACTCCCCCACAGTTCACTATGGGCCTGGGGGCAGGACCGGCAAAAATCTATTTGCCCGCCAAGTTAACTTGGTCCTGGAACCAGAGACCAGGGAGACAGGACGACATCCTGAAGCTCAGCATCTTCTCCCCGGGGCCTCCAAACAGCGGGGTAGAGGCTAAGATGCCCCGGCCGGGGCTGGGGAGAGACTGGAACTGAGGAGGCGCCCTGGAGCAGGGTCTCGGGGGTCCCCGGAGCAGTCACGTGTTCCCGAGGCGCCTCTAAAACCCAGGCGGCTCCCCGCCCCCCTCCTTCCCACCGCCACCTCCGGGTCCTGCTCTCGCTGCTGCTGCTGCCGCCGCTGCCGCTGCTGTCGCCGGGGTGCAGAAGCCACCGCGTTCGGCAGCGTTCCGGGAGCAGAGGCGCTTGCAGCGGCCGGGGCTCCCCGAGGTACCGGCCCCAGGCCTCCCCGCCGCCCCCTTGGGCGCCAGGTGGGCCTGCACTGGGGGGCCGTGGTGCGTGCTGGAGAGGGTGGCGAGTACGCCTGGGGCTCCCGGAGCCCGCACCCCTGTCCTGGGTCCTGGAGCGTTACGTGGTCCCCCAGAGGGTGGGGTGGGGGTCGCTGAAGGCTGCGCGGCTGGAAAAATTGGGGTCAGGGTGGCAGAACAGGCAGTTGCCAAGCGAGAAGGGGGAGCAGGGGAGGGCTCGGCTGAAATCTTTCTTGCCGAGCTGGTCCACCCAGCCCCAAACTCACCCGGGGTGGAGCAGGCACGGCCGAACACGGGAGGAGAAGGTCCGGGTGCGCGCAGGTGTCTCTTGGGGATGGCGGCGGCTGTCAGGGGCCAAGCGCACCCCTCGGCTGGGCCAGCCCCGCGTGCAGCCGCGCGGGCGTCCCAGGCAGGGGAGTCGCAGTTCGTGAGGTGCTGGGCGGGATCTCTGCCCTAGGTTAGCTCTGGGGGGACCCGGGGCACAGCCCGTGGGGTGTCACGCTGGCCGTCCAGCCACCGCGCTGGCCCGCAGTTGGCCAAGCCCGGAAGGCGGCTGCGCTCCTAGATGTGCGCTCCCATTTGCAAAGTGGCCTCATAGACATGCGGGCCACACACAAACGTTCATACACCTACAAATCCAGAATCTTCAAGTTTGAAGCCCTGATTTTATCTTTAATAGGAAAATCGCCTTAGATAAAGGCCAAAAAGATTTTGCCACGGTCCCTAGAAAGAGCCCAAGGCTCTTCCAGTGGAAATTTGCAGGCTGAATGCAATTTTAAAATTGGGAATTGTCTAAGGAAAAGAAACTCTGCTGTTGGTATTGAGAAGGGAGGATGGCGTGTGCCTGGATGCTGGTTAGCTGAACGGAGCTGTTATTTGTCCGTACAATTCCAGACTTGCCAGATTCTAGCTTTCAGAACAAATCATGAGAATATTTGGGAACATGGGCTCTTGCCATGTTCCAAGAACACGGCGGAATAGACAGAGTTGTTGTTTTATCATTGCCGGGGGGTTGGGGGGGAATCATTTACTTTCGTCTTTTGTGTGATTGGCATCTTTCCTGAGAAAAACGGTGCATTTTCATAGGGCAGGAAATTATCCTAACAAAGAAACCTTATTTAAATGGATGAATGAGTCTTTCCGTATCCATTGAATCCCAGTAGTTCCTCCTATTACACCTTTTAAGAACTATCTACTTTCTTAAAATACTTAAAGTTTATTCATTTGTCAAGGTGTCAGTTGCAGATCAATTCATAAATCTTTACAAAGACATTGCTTTATTAAAGTTGCCACAGTTCAATGAACAACTTTTTCTCACTTTTTTTTTTTAAGTCAGAATTAAAGTTCATTGTTTCAGCTGGGAATTCTGGTGGTGAGATCTCAACTACATACAGGAAAGAACAGCTGACAGCAATTAGGCACAGGAAAGGGTTCACTTAGTTGGTCTGGTTCTGATTTGTTCCTGAATTATTTCTTTATTTCATTAAGATCCTCTCTCAATGGCTGCATTTCATAATTTCTACAGCAATCTGAGATGAAATAATATTTTCATCTGATATTATTTTCATTATCTTTGTAATGTTTACACTGCATACAATTGTACCATGTTCATTATAGCACTTGTTGGAAGACATAATTTTTAAACAGATTTACATTTGCATTGTAGGTTTGTTTATTGTGTTTTTCTGGAAAAAGGAAGGGGAGGGGTAAGTTTAAGGAAAGAAATTCTTTGTGCTTTTATTTACTGATTTATTTTTACTTCAAAGTAGCTCCTCTACAGTAGATTTTCAACTTTAAAACAAATCACATAAATCTTATTGGACAAAATTTGCCTAATGTTTAAACTGTCCCTTATCAGAGGCATTTTTGAAGAAACTGATTACAAAATCCACACACCCTCTTTGCAATATAATTAATTCCTGTAAGTTAGTCCTCTTGACATTCATTGGAGCAAAGATAGAATACTCATTTTGTCTTTAGTATTTCAGGTGATAATAGTGTGTAAGTGTGGGAGATGGATTGGTGAGACTGAAGAATAAGAGAAAATCAACTACATAACCACAACAAGATAAAATGAATAAATGAATGTTAGAATAGAGAAAGATGCAAGGAATAAAAGATAACTTACTAATCAAGCTAAATAACTACATAAGTATCCATCATATTCATTGAAGCACAGGTGTTCATGCTGTAGGGAAAGAGTAACTCCCTGGAGTCAGAAGAATGCTGTCCAGCCATTCATCCTCCATTTAAGGACCTTCCTATCTCTGGCAGTCAGTCTATTCCACTCACTGTATGACCTTGAGTTAATTGCTCATAGAATATGTAAAATTTAGTTATTCATCCTTATGCCAACAGAGTAGAGCAGAACACCCAGTATAGTAGTTGGACAATAAATGCCTGTTGAATGAACGAAGAAAGAGGTGAAAAATCTTATCTAGCTATTTGTTAATGAAAGGGAGCCTCTCTTTAAAATTATATTAATTATCTAATTTCTTGAAATTCTCAAATATGTTAGGGAGGGAAAGAAATGTGATGCTCAATATTTTCCTAGTGTTCAATGAATATTTAGAATGGCATTTCCTTCATCTGCTAACTAAGGAATCAGTGGTTTTTATAACTTAATGATTTCAATAATAATTGTTCATATATTTAAAATGGAAGAGTTTTGGCAACTAACTGTGCAATCTGATGTACTTTTTTCATTTAAATAAAAATAGGTTGCAATTTGTTTTTCAGTTGTAGTTTCATCTAGTTTGTGTTAACTTTTATCAATGAAGATGTCCAATTAAAAAAGTTAAAGTGCTGACCTCTTGTTATTGCCTGTATAGCCATCTCCACATTTCATTTTTGGGCCATTTAAAAACTTTTCTAATTGCAGTGATTACATATACATATACACACACAAAAAAAATACATGTTGCATATGCACACATATACTCTATACTTAAAATCCCCAGGGTGATTTAGTTCTGTTATTTTAAGACTGGGAACATTAAACTACCTTTCTGAAATAACTAGTAACAAATATTTACTTAGTATCTATTATGTTTATGTGCCATTAATATTAAGCACCTTATTACCATGAAAATAATTTAGACATTTCCTTATCTTCATTAGAATCTGATTGAGTGATCTGCCCCTGTATCTTGGAGATCATCTAAATTTTCGACTCAAAACCATATCTTTTCTGTTGCTGCACATTCTGCTGCATTTCTTCTTTTTTCAAAAAATTTTTGCACAGCAATATTACTCTGAATATTTTATCTCAAGAAAGCACAAGGCCATTGTAAAAGGGACTATCTGGTTTCCCTCTTGTCCTTACATTGGTAGTAGAAAAAAAAAAAAGTCAATTGATGGCTACTACTAACCACAAAGTTAGGAGAAAAGGATTGGTTCAACAACAGTGAGTCAAGGCTGGACATGGTGTACATGCCTATAATCTCAGAGTGCAGGATGCTGTTCAGGAGGATGAAGGACAGCCTGGGGTAGGTCCAAGACATTGCCTATAAAAGAAGGAAGTAAAGAAGAAAGGAAGGAAGGGGAGGAGGGAGGGAGGAACAAAGAAAGTATCAAAAAACCAAGCAGAAGTGCTGTTACAAATAGCCTGTGGACGTAATATATATGCATGTGCTCATGAACAAGCTAGAATGTTCCAGAGGGTCATCAGAAGTCAGAGCTACTTTCACTAGAAGACACTCATCTCTCTAGGGGAGCTGCACGGGGGGTGCTGCAGGCTAAACATATGGAGAGTAGCTGATTCAGGAGGCCAAGTGAGTCTTGTTATCCTTTTTCCCTTGAGGCAATATCAGTGTAAATTATTGGATTGGGTCTAAGACTAAATGAACATGATATGGAGCTTTTGGATTAAGTTATCTTTAGAGGGACATAAATTGCTTCTGAGAGTATTCTATTAACATGGAATCAGTGGTGGAGGTTGTGAGAAACTTTCACCTTTTCTCAAAGCCCCATGATGACTGTATCTTCAGGCTATTGTAACTGGAGTTCTGTGTCAAAGGCCCAAACTCCAGGGTTTCAACCTGTCACGTCTAGCCACTCACTCACCCCAGTCCACCAACTAAAGAGAAGTAGTGATGAAGAGCAGAACAAGGAAATTTACTACACAGCATGCCATGGGAAGAGAAAAAGTAAGCATTTGAGCCCATCTTCAGGGTGCAGGCACGAGCTTTAAGTTTAAATGGAGGAAGAATAGGTTGGGGAAGGTCTCATTTTTACAGATGATCATCCTCATCTGGGGAGTGGTCCATCCTGCAAGGCTCACTGCTGCTGGTGGGTAGTTTCAGTCACTTGTGGTAAAGATGTTATGAGTGAGTCCTGAGATTCCCAGAATCCAAAGCGACTGCGGGGGAGAAAGAGACTCAGATCAAAGAAGACAGAGACAAGTAGGTCTAAGTGAGGAGTCAGTGCTTTTTCACAAAAGCAGTTTCTAAGTATATTTGAAACTTGCTTACATAAAACTGAAGTTAATCTTATTCATAATGAATGTATCCAGAGGAAAGGATTTCCTATTTGGAAATTTACTGGACCAGAACCTCTGAGTCCTTCATAAATTGAAGATAATTGTGTTTATTATTAATTCAAATACACATCTTTTTGTAGTTTTCAGCATAATTATTCAGTCATAGGTCTAGAAATAAGCAAGTGCATATTGGTAAGTAGCAAAAGTAGTTTCATAGCTATTTATATCAAGATCTCTGTAACAATGTATAATCACTAGAATTAATTATCTATTGATGCCTTGAGTGTTCTGAAGAAATCTCTTGTTTAAGAAAATGGAAGTGCTTCCTTTTATTAAATGAGAGAAGGGGTTCCTTTTGCTTCTTACTGATCTGTTATGGGCAATTTAGAGTTTCATAAAGCAATACCATAAAATACCTATCTTTAAGTAATACCAGTGTGACGAGACACTAACTGTATTTGAAATGAAAAAAAAAAACTTACTATAGGGTGTTGTGTTACTATCACTTCCACATTTAACTTTAAAATATAATGCTTTCCTTAAACAATAGGAATTTATGCAACCATTTTTAAGACGACACATGTCTATATAACTTTCAGATTAAAAAAGTAAACAGATAAACTTTGTTTTTAAAAATACTAATAGCTTTGCCTCTCAGTAAGTGATCATGTTAATTTGTGATAATATAGCATATCTGAAAAGACTGAGAATTGATCTTTGAATGATTTTGTTATTTACCATTGTGCTCATAATCACAGTACAGGTTGATAAGCACTTATTGAATTGCCTACTATTTACACTTAGATGCTGGGATAATGTTCTATGTTTGAGAAGATTAAAGCCTAAACAAAATCATACCTAGGTTACTAGATTTTATGTTTCAACTTTCATTCTCTCCTCAATAGTTATTTATTACCTTCAGTGGTGACATTTCTGTGTTGTGTGTTGTGTGTTGTGATGGATACCTTGGTCTACTTAAGCATTGCTTGTAAGTAAGTAAGGTAGACTGTAGCTACTATAATTGAAATACAGAACAGATGGTGATATGTGGCATCAGAAGCTATAATCAGAGTATTAAGGGAATTCGGAAGAGGAGACCACATCCAATTTGGTAGACTAGGGAATACTTTAGGATAAGTGACTTTAAGTTTGGCCTTGATTCAGGTGAAAAAGAAAGGAATTTTTAAGGTAATATTATATGATTATATGCTGTGCCAGGTATCTTGACTAGAAAATAATAGTTATGAGCTATTATAAATTATGTATCTCAAAATTCTGATCTACATTTGCCTTTCCCTTTCCTTACATTTCCCACATAAACTTGAAAAGCAATGTCTTCTTCTTTTGTAGAAGTTAACCCAGCATACAGCTGATGATAGACTTAAATTTGCTGCATTGTTATTGGCTGAATTTGAACTGCATGTGTAACCAAGGAAAGGCCTCTCTAAATTTTCTCAGGAAATTAATATGGTAACGGAAGGAAACTATGAATTTAGTTTCTCTATGAATGGATTAAGTGACAGTGGTCATGTAATTTTTTTTCAAGTTGCTAATGAATATCTTTTTATTCCAAGCAGGATTCTAATATGGATTTATTGCTCAAGGAGTATTATAACAAGACACTTGCCATGGAGAACAATACTGGTGCCACTCGGAATTCTGATTTCCCAGTCTGGGATGATTATAGAAGCAGTGTAGATGACTTACAGTACTTCCTGATTGGGCTCTATACATTTGTAAGTCTTCTGGGTTTTATGGGGAATCTACTGATTTTAATGGCTGTCATGAAAAAGCGTAATCAGAAGACTACAGTCAACTTCCTCATAGGGAACTTGGCCTTCTCTGATATCTTGGTTGTGTTGTTTTGCTCACCTTTCACCCTGACCTCTGTCTTGCTGGATCAGTGGATGTTTGGCAAAGTCATGTGTTATATTATGCCTTTTCTTCAATGTGTGTCAGTTCTGGTTTCAACTTTAATTTTAATATCAATTGCCATTGTCAGATATCATATGATAAAGCATCCCATATCTAACAATTTAACAGCAAACCATGGCTACTTCTTGATAGCTACTGTCTGGACACTAGGTTTTGCGATCTGTTCTCCCCTTCCAGTATTCCACAGTCTTGTGGAACTTCAGGAAACATTTGGTTCAGCCTTGCTGAGCAGCAGGTATTTATGTGTTGAGTCATGGCCATCTGATTCGTACAGAATTGCTTTTACTATCTCTCTATTGCTAGTGCAGTACATTCTTCCCTTAGTTTGTCTAACTGTAAGTCATACCAGTGTCTGTAGGAGTGTAAGTTGTGGATTATCCAATAAAGAAAACAGACTAGAAGAAAATGAGATGATCAACTTAACCCTTCATCCTTCCAAAAAGAGTGGAAATCAGGTGAAACTCTCCAGCAGCCGTAAGTGGAGTTATTCATTCATCAGAAAATACAGAAGAAGATATAGCAAGAAGACAGCATGTGTATTACCTGCTCCAGCAAGACCTTCCCAGGAGAACCATTCACGAGCACTTCCAGAAAATTTTGGCTCTGTGAGAAGTCAGCTCTCTTCATCCAGTAAGTTCATACCTGCGGTCCCAACCTGCTTTGAGCTGAAACCTGAAGAAAACTCAGATGTTCGTGAAATGAGAGTAAAACGTTCGGTCATGAGACTAAAAAAGAGATCTCGAAGTGTTTTCTACAGACTGACCATATTGATATTAGTGTTTGCTGTGAGTTGGATGCCCCTACACCTTTTCCATGTGGTAACTGATTTCAATGACAACCTTATTTCCAACAGGCATTTCAAGTTAGTGTATTGTGTTTGTCATTTGCTAGGCATGATGTCCTGTTGTCTTAATCCAATTCTATATGGATTTCTTAATAATGGGATCAAAGCTGACTTAATGTCTCTTATACACTGTCTTCATATGTCATAATTCTCACTGTTAACCATTGACAGAATAAATGTTGAGGTCATCTAAAATAGATCCATGGTAATGGTGTAAGCATAACTGTAATTTTGTTAATATGTGGAATTTAATTTATGTGAAAGAATTCTAGGTTTGAATGCTAGTTTGTAGTGTATGGAAGATAATTTTAATGTGTTATAATTAATTCATTTAGTTATACAGAGCTAGTGTTAATCCAATCTGTAATTTCATTTTTTAAAGTATTTATATTACCTTCCATTTCATGTTATCTGTAAATAAATGGTATTCGCTTAAAAATAAGTTATATATAATTGACTCAATATTTTTGTTCAAAACAAAAATTTTTTTTCCTGAAGAATATTTAACTACAAATTTAAGGAATTCCTTTATCTATCTATCCTCATTTCTATCCCACAGACTTCTTAATGTTTAGTTTGTGAAAATATAAAAAATGTTTATACAACTAAAGATGATAACTAAAGTCATAACTAAATGTAAAATCATAACTAAATGATAGATATATGCTTAAATCATGATTATAATTTTAAGCATGAGATGCAGTTTTGGAAATCCTACAAGAAAATGATTATGTCATATTACTGACAATTCGTAAAATTATCAATTTAACTCTACTGTCCCAGTAATACACAATTAATTAACCAAATAAAAATAGCTTTTAAGGCCGAGCACTGGGTGGCTCATGTCTGTAATCCCAGCTACTTGGAAGGCAGAGATCAGGAGGATAACAGTTCAAGGCCAAGCTGGGTAAATAGTCTGTGAAACCCTATCTTGAAAACACCCAACACAAGAAAGGGCTGGTAGAACAGCTCAAGTGTAGAGAAAACTGCCTAGCAAGCATGAGACCCTGAGTTCAAACCCCAGTACTGCCAAAAAAAAAAAAATTTATACCACAACATTAAATACTATTAAAGAAGGTTGTTTTCTGTATACCTTCTTTCTGTTCTAAAATCTGAAACCTAAATGTATCTGTGTTTTGAACCGCTAAATAATTCTAAAGACAACTTTAAGTGTTCTTGGAGAATAAAGTTAACTTTTGGTTCATATAAAATAAGAAGTGATTAATATACAATATACTTATATATAATGTATTTTCATGTTATTTCCACATGATATTCATAGGATATGAAGTCTCATATACTGTCTTGTTAGATTAAAGTCAAACTTTCAAACTACTTGAACTTTTTGTTTATGTTTGTTATTGCCAGTTGTTTTGTGTGTTTGGTTGTTGGTTATTTTGTTTGTTTGCTTGCATTTGCAGTGTTAGTGATGGAACCCAGGGTCTTTTGCATGCTAAACACACGCTTCAACACTGAGCTACACGCCAGCCTTGTTTTTGCCATTTTTTTTTAAAGAACTAAGCCCTGAAAAAACTTGAGTATTTGTACAATAGGTCAGATATATGAAATAATACTGAAATCTTTCTTCCTGCTGAATTGATTCATACTAGTAGCAAGGTAAAACAATAAAACAAAACAACAAAAACCTTTTACATTTGCAAGTAACAGGCAATTTTCATATTTAGTCAATTAAAAATCTAAAATCCCTACAGATTTTTTTTTCTGCCTTCTTCTTCCCTAGATGGCATGTACACACAAAAGACGTTGCCTTGATTTTATGTCATGGGGAAGATGGTGGTGGGCCACAAGGTGTCCTCTACAGCTCCTGTGGAGCACCAACTGAGGAGTCAATCTTATCTGTTTTCCATGTTACGTCAGCCTTTGCCTCAGCTGTATAATGCATGGTTTCTTAGCAAAGTCAGGGCCTGAGAGTCAGCTCCAGAATCCTACACTTCTGCTGGCATGGTAGGATTTATTTAAACTTTCATTGCTTGAGTCTCAGCCCTACCTTGCATTTTGTTCCAAGCGTAGGGTCTCTAGCCTGTGAGGGTCTTGCTACCCAGTCAATCATGCTATCCCGTGCTGAGTCTGGGAACTGTAGGGACACAATATATTCATCACTGGGAATTCAAGGGAACTTACAAAATTCTGCTCCTGACATGGGTCACAAAGAACTGAGACAGGCATCTTGAGCTTCTCAGGCCTCTGTCTGCTCAAACACGATACGCTGCTGTATCCACTGTGCGGTACTTACCTCAACTGGTACATGACCACTCTGTTTTCAAGCCCCTTTCTAAGTTTTTATATATCATGTAGCCATAATCCCCCTCTGCTTTTAAGGGTTTCTGTAACCTACTTGATGCTACATGAGTGTCCTTCCCCAAGCATTTGTTTTGTAGCCCAAAAAGGGAAAACCTTGTTCACCTTTGATTTTCTCTCTCCTTTTTGTCATAAGAATGTCCCCCACCGGTATCTTTCTTTTCCTCCACACTTTACTTACAGTAAAGCTATGTTCAAAACATCACGGTTTGGTTTTGGGAAATGAGCTTTGTATTATGAAAACCTTTCCCCTCTTTCAATGCTTGGATTCAATTCTATTTTCTCATCATGGACAAAAAGAGTCTGTGCTAAAGAGTGAATGCTTATTTCAAACAAATTAGCATTCTCAGTTTCACTAGGGCTAACAGGTTCAAGGTTTGCTATTCGTGGCTGAAAGGGAAAGAAACTCACCAGCAAGGACAAATACAAATGTGTCTCTCACAGAGATCCACCCTGTGAGAATAACTAACATCAGCAAATGTTAAATAGCAAAAGTCTCAGATACTATAGTGATTGATAGATGAGTTTAGTTACACTAAATAATCTAATTTGGGGATGTTAAATTATTGAACTCGAAGGAAGTAATTGATCTTCCCTAATTAGAAATGACTGAATGTTCTTAATAATTGAAAGTTGAGAAGTTTGAATAGGTTGTTGAGTAGATGTCATTAAGGTCAGGATTAATGGTTTTAGAAAACTATTATGAATGATACTGTCTCCCATGAAGCCTTCTTTAGTGAGTTAAATAATTTTTGCTTCCTCAAGTCTCCATTGCTCAGGGGCTGATTACATAACTGTGTTTCTATTCTCTCCTGGGACTTGACATGATTACTTGTTCAGAAGCGCCTTCACAAAACTATGGCCAGGGGAAAGAGATGGAGATGAAATTATAAACAGTCAACCTCATTACTTTTTAACAATTATTTTCAAATATTTAATTCAGGAAGCAGGTTAAATTGAGTTTTAGTAGTTAAATTATTCCTCCTAGCTATATAGCCCATTACTGTGGATAACAAAACACCATATGGGAAAAAAAGCTGAGGAAAATATAAAGAGCAACTAAAATGATTAAACTAAGAAGAAATTTGTATTAGGACTATTTAATCAAAAAATATCTATTGAATACTTACCATTACGATTTGAATGTCTCCTCCATAACACAAGTGGAAATTTAATTGCCATTGTAACAGTATTAAGAGGGTCAATGTTTAGAGATCATTGGGTCACCAGGGCACTTCCTTTGTGAGATAAGGCCATTATCTCAGGAGCGCGTTAGTTATTGCCAATGGCTTTCTTTTGCTTCTGCCCTCTTGCTCTCTCACTAGTTCTCTTACTATGTAATGCCCTTCTCCATGTTATGATGAAGCAAGAAGGCCCTCACCAGAAGCTAGCATCTTGGTATTGTATTTCCCAGCTTCCAGAACCATGAGACAAAATTATTTTTTTTAATAATTTGCCCAGTGTGGTACACACCTGTAAACCTAGTAGTCAAGAGACTAAGGCAGAAAGATGGAGAGTTCAAGGCTAGTCTGGGCTACATAGTGAGACCCTATCTCAAAAATGAATAGAGTACAATAGAAAGAACAGAATAGAATAGAATCTACATCATGTGTTATAATCTATTAGGGTAGCAAGAGCTAGACTAAAACCCTTAGTGTCTGAGAGGCCTCTCCTAGGTGCTTATGATGTGTCAGTGAACAAAACAGACACAGAAGATCCCTGATCATTTGTTATTTGCCTTCTGAGAGAAGGAGACTTCATGAAAAGAGGTAGACAAACTGTAAGCATGAGAGCAATAAAGTTAATTAGCATACATTATTATCCTAAGGCTGGCATAATAATGTATTAAAACCTGGATGACTTAAAAGAACAGAAATTTGTTGTCTCACAGTGCTGGGTGCTAGAAGTGTGAAATTGGTGTGTCCACTGGGTCATGCTTCCTTCTGAAAGCTGTAGGGGAATTGGTACTCTGGTTCTCACTGACAGTCTGGTCAACAGTTTAGCTGCTCTAGTTAGCTCACAGTCTTTAATGCTCTTTGCAGCTGCATGACTCCAGACTCCGCCCTTGCTATCCCATGACATTCTGCCTGTGTCTGTGTCCAGACGTATCAACTTCTTGGGCGCCGGTCATATTGGATTGCTTCCTTGCCTTCCAATTTAACTAATTGCATCTGCAATGATCCTATTTCCAAGTAAGGTCACATTCTGAGATACTGAGCATTAGGATTTCAACATACACATTTTTAGGGGAGAGGTATAGTACAACCCATAACAATATTTTTGCACTGCTGGGGATTAAACCCAGGGCAGTAAGAATGCTAGGCAAGCTCTCTATCACCAAGCCATACCTGCAGTCCCATAGTATTTTAATAATTATTAGTAATGCAGGAAACTTAGAACCATATCAACTAGGGACAGAAAAGGAGTGCATGTGGCAGGAGAAGGAAGAGAGTTGCATGTAATTTCAAATGGGATAGCTCTATGACCCTAACTGAGAGTCTAACTTTTGTGCAAAGACTTGAAAAAGAAGAGGAAACTGGATGTGAGTGTCAGGGAAAACACTCTAGGCAGAAATCACAATTATTACAAAGGCCGTGAAGGAGGAGCACATGTTGAGTGTGAAAGGAGTAGGAAGGAAAGCAAGCATTGTAACAGAAGTGCAGTCAACAGAGGAAAATGACATAAGGCACTGACTCAAGAACAGATCCTTACATGCATTTGTAAGGATGTTGACTTTCCCTCAGAAAAATGAGGCATGATTGTGGATATTTCCCAGAGATAGAACATACTATGACCTCCATTAAAAGGATCATTCTATGTACAATAATAGACTGTTCCTTCATCTTCCTTTATGATTTAAGCAGTTGTGGATCTTTATGCATATACATACATTATATATAATATATATTAGGAGGTTATAGGTTAGTAATATTTAATTCTTCCATTTCTGTTACATCCGTAAGATTTAATATATTGATGAAAATATACTCAATCTATCGGTTGATTATTCAATAATACAATTTTTTAGGAAAGATAGTATGAAAATTTGGTATCATCCAGTCATTACTTGTTGGAAAGTGATCAACACACCAGTTAAAATACATTTGATA